TGCAGGAGGCAGCCGATCCATGGTTCTCTCTCATCATGGATGTTTCTCTCTTTCTCTCTCTCTCCCTTCCTCTCTGAAATCAATGAAAATATATTTTAAAATAAATAAAATAAATCAATGGAAAAATATCACCTCGAAATAAAACTAAAAAAGAAAAGAAAAATATCTCCTGGGGGTGATTTACAGGCGGGTGGAGCGTCACTAATGGGTCCAGTGGCTTCTAGGGACCAAGGAAGGAAGACTTGCGCCCAAGGCCCCTGCTGCTGTGGGGAGGGCGATGCTGACATGACTCCCAGTGACTCCGGGGCGTAGGCTGCCGAGGGCTGGGCCCAGGGGCAGCGGCTCAGGGGCCTCCCTCGCTCTACCTGCCCAGGGGTTTAATTTCAGGGCCTGGGGCTCCCCCCAGTGCTCAGGGCTCCCCAGCTGCCCAAACACCATTCTCCACGCACAGCACAGCCGCATGCTTTCCCGACATGCCCCTTTTTTGTTTTGTTAATCCGCACCCTGGGATAGTTCCCCATTGATTTTTAGAGAGAGGGGAAGAGACAGAGAGACACATAGATTGGATGCCTCCTGCATGCGCCCCAACCAGGGTCAGTCTGGAGCCTGCAACCGAGGTACGTGCCCTTGACCTGAGTCGAACTGGGACCCTTCCGTCTGCAGGCTGATACTCTATCCACTGAGCCACAGCGGCTGGGGCGACACCTCCCTTTTTCCCTCTCACTCCCCTTACTCCCCAGTACCGATGCCTGGGGCCCAGCTGAACAGTCCTTCCTGTGTCTGCGGCCCCTCCCCACACACGATGCCCATCCTGCCCCGCCAGGCAGTGTGCCCCGCCCCCCACCCCCCAGCCCAGGGCCACTGCTGGCTCTTCCAGCTCATTCATCATCTTCGTTGCTTTTCTCTGGATTTTCTCCGCGTTGTTGACTCGTTTCCTGGACAGAGGAGCCCAGAGCAGCTGCTGCTTTCCCAGGCGGAGCAAGAAGAGGCCTCTGTGCTCACACAATCCGCTCTCCCCCCCAGAGCGGGGCCTGGGGCTGCACCTGGGTGGCCCGGAAACGCCGTCGGTTTCCAGGGACACCGTATAAGCTCGTCTGCCTGGGACTCTTTCCAAGCAAAGGTTTTTTGTTTTTAATATATTTTTTTATTGATTTCAAAGAAGGGAGAGGGAGAGAGAGAGAAACACCAATGATGAGAAAGAATCATGGATCGGCTGCCTCCTGCACGCCCCACACTGAGGATCAAGCCCACAACCCGGGCATGTGCCCTGACCGGGAATCGAACCGTGACCTCCTGGTTCATAGGGCAACGCTCAACCACTGAGCCACACTGGCCAGGCTAGGTCTGTCCTGTGCTGCGCCAGCACAGCCAAGAGTGATCCTGAGTGGGAGGGGGGGTGAAAGGATTGAGAAAAGACAGACAAGAGAATGACAGCTGGGTCTCGGTGGGACGCTGCTCCCTGATGAGACAGCGCCAGCGCCCACAAGCCATGTCTTTATTTCATAGCAGATGCCACGAGGCAAAGTAGGGGCGTGATCAAGTTGTTTACAGCATTCTCGTGGGTTTCAACCTCACTTAACTACATGCACCAACTCTAGCACAAGGCACGTGGGGCCAGGTGTTCGGACCATAGGTTCAAGCTCACAACCACAGCCGTTGGCTATGACTGTGCTGGGAGGGCCTGCCCTCCAGCTGGGACTTGCATGTGGCCATGAGAGGACCCTGTCCTTTCATTAGTCCGAGGCTTGAACCTGGCCCAAACACTGCAGCCGCGCCCCACACTGTCCAACTTCAGTTTCACGTTCCTGCCCTCGCAGCGGCTGCCTCTTGAGAGCGTGGGAGCGTCAGGGAGGCGCCTGGGAGCAGGGGGCGCGCCGATGGCCTGTATCTCCCTCCAGTGACTCCCAGCCACTACCTGGGCGCCAGCGGCGATGATGTCACCACAGGCATCTTCAGGCTCAGCTGCTCTGCGGGTGGGTCGGCCGTGTGGGCGGCCGGGGAATCCCACCGGTGACAACACAGCGTCCTTGGGAGCTGACACGGCAGCCGATGCCCCAGACCGACCCCAGGCCCCGACAGTCTCGCTGCAAAGCGTGGGAAGCCCGGGCCCCAGACGTCACGCCCGCCCGCACCTCACCTTCACACAGAGCTGCTGCGGTGGCTTCGCTCCTGACTCATCGCTCATCCGGTTTCAACCCCGTGAGTCAAAACGCACCACTTTCATTCAAAATAACCTTCACTGGGGGCTAACGGCGTTCCTTTCTCTGCTTTTACTGTCCTGTGTGGTTTCTGGAGAGGAAGCCCTCGGAGAGCAGGCAGGCGGCGTCCGGGGGGACTCAGCACAGTGACACTCACTCGCCTTCTGGACTCTGGCCGCTCGCAGGATCTGGGACCTGGAGGCCCGGCTCCCCTGCATGTCCGGCAGCCTCCTGGCCGGTGAGTGGTTGCTCAGTGTGAGCCCGTGGGAGCAGGCACGGCCATGCAGCCCGGGTGAGAGGCCGGCTCTCTGCCTTCGGAGATTCTGGTCCGCACTCCAATCCAGGAGCATCGGGGTCACTGGGATGCCTGTTAAACCTGCACGCTTCTGCCCGGCCCGTGTGGCTCAGTGGGTTGAGCGTCGACCTTTGAACCAGGAGGTCACGGTTCGATTCCCGGTCAAGGGCACAGGCCCAGGTTGCGGGCTCGATTCCCAGTGGGGGGCGCGCAGGAGGCAGCCGATCCATGATGCTCTCTCATCATTGATGTTTCTCTCTCTCTCTCCCTCTCCCTTCCTCTCTAAAGGGAGAGGAATGTATTTTTTTAAATGTATATTCCTGAGCCTCATGCCACAGCCCTGGGTGGGCCTTAACAGTCGGGGAGAGAGAGGGCCACTCCCTGTCTGGATGCAGGGGAGAGGTGGGCGGGGCTGCTAGACCAAGAGGCTGTGGGAGGGAGAGAGGAAAAGGTGGGGCAGCACCCGGGGTGAAGGGGCCCCTGAGTCCCCAGGGGGACCCCACTAAAATCCCCTGCCGGATTTGAGGTTCCCACACGCTTTCTGGCTTGGGGACCCACACTTGGGCATCCCCTAGTTCAGTGATGGCGAACCTTTTGAGCTCGGCGTGTCAGCATTTTGAAAAACCCTAACTTAACTCTGGTGCCGTGACACATATAGAAACTTTTTGATATTTGCAACCATAGTAAAACAAAGACTTATATTTTTGATATTTATTTTATATATTTAAATGCCATTTAACACAGAAAAATCAACCAAAAAAATGAGTTCACGTGTCACCTCTGACACGCGTGTCATAGGTTCACCATTACTACCCTACTTGCCTGGTGAAAAACGCCAGTGCAAGACCGGTTTTGGGGTGTTCTACAGGGTAAGGCCTTGCTCTGGTCATGTTGCATTTTGTGTTCTTTTTTTTTTTTTATAAATAATATTTTTATTGATTTCAGAGAGGAAGGGAGAGGGAGCGAGATATAGAAACATCAATGATGAGAGAGAATCATTGATTGGCTGCTCATGCACACCCCACACTGGGGCCTGCAACTCGGCATGTGCCCTTGACCGGGAATCGAACCATGACCTCCTGGTTCATAGGTCGATGCTCAACCACGGAGCCACACCAGCCCGGGCTCCATTCCTCTTAAAGAAGCTTCAATCAAAAGTTGTCAGTGAAGTTATAAAACTTGTATCTGTAGGAGCCCACGTAGGCGGAGCAAGGGCTCTTGCATTCTTTAAGTGACGTTTGGCAAGACCAGCTCATTTGTCACCAAGCGGCCAGCGTCCTCTCTCCATCTTCCTGTGAAAGGCTGTGTACGCTGGGCTGCGAGCCCCATGGATCTTGGCCTGGCAGGAATGTAAATGTTTTGACCAGGCGGTGTCCTCGGGAGTCTGAGCTGCCGCAGAGACCCAGGGGCCAGGGGATGGAGGGCGGATGGTGCGTGCGGATGTTCTGGGAGATTTCTAGCTCTGACGCCTCCCCCTCCCCTTCCCCCCCCTCATGTCCTGTCACCCTCTGGAGACGCCTGGCTCAGGGGGACCAGGGGGAGATAGTTCCCTTCCCCCTGATTGTGGCCCCCTTAAAA